GGGGGGCTGATATGTTGGAAAGAGTAATCAAAGTGAGACAAAGAATCAAGTTGAGAATAGGCCACATACGATAAACTTTCCCCCATTGGAGCATAATTAACAAAACTTCTTATTTGGGGGGGCTCTCGTGATCGAGAGGTTACAGTGTTTACCTCTCATTAAAAAGGTCCCAGGTACAAATCCGGACAGCAACAAAGGAACATTTTCTTTTCTAATTCTCTAAAACGTTCTCCTTTCACCTCCTTTCCTGCTCTCTAACAATGTTCTCTCGGCTGCTTTCGTCTCCACTTTCTGCTCCCACTCCTCGCCTCCTTTGCCCCCTCCTCTGAGCTCATTACTCTTTATGATGCGGCCTTTTCTTCTACTGCTATTCCTTGGCTCCTTCCCTTCCTACCTGTTGTGTTTCAACCACACCCCTCGTCTTGTGGTTGGTAAGATCTAACACCTAGCCTTCAAGGGTAAGGGCGAAAAATATCGGAGGTCTCGTGCGCAAGTTAAGGATTCCTTGGTGGTCCAAAATCGATAAGAGTAGACTTCGGCCGCCACCCAGGCAAAATTCAAAATCTCCTACCAAATGAAGTGTTTAATGTGTCCCGCATGCTCATGTATGACTTTTGCAGTTGCAAGCGCCGTAAAACACTTACAGGTACAAACAACAACAACAAATTTTAAACCACCATCTTTTTCCCTCAGCTGTGAATTAAAACAAATCCTGAATTCATTTACATCATATAATTCACCCGCCAAAATAATCGGGAAAATATGTCATTAAATAATTTTATCCCCACTCTGGGCAAAGCGTAATCAGAGAGGCGTAATTATATTTTTCGAACGCGCGGTGGAAATAACAGTCTCAAGATTTTCAACTGTAAATTTTAACCTAACTCCAATGTGAATATATATATATATATGACTCATTCTCAAAAGGTCAGGTCCATTTTCTTGCAGGACCCCCCAATTTTCTAATTCAAGGTAGAATAAAAATCCAGCCTTTACCAGCTTTCTAAAACACTACTGAATCCTAATTCACCACCCAGAAGATAATATGTGAAGCCATCTGCGAGGTATAGAGCTGTGATTACATAAGGTGCCATGATCACTGACGTTACTGATGACATGCAGTTTGCTTTGAAAATGTATCAATATTTACTTTTTAGTCATGCCACCACAGCAAAATAAGTAAGTGTTGAAGAACTGTTTGACATAAACCCAAATGTAATTGTCAGTCACTTTATTTCGTCAACATTTTATGCTGATATTTATGTCACCGTAACGTCAGTGATGAAACTGAGTTTTGTTTTTTTTCCTCTCAAATAATTACATAAAATCATCACAAGCTGCCATGACACAAACATAAACCTGATAGCAAACATTAAGAATACACATTAAATCCTCCATCATCATCATCCTTTTTGTCTATGGGGTGTCCACTAGTCACTGACGTTACTATGACACAAGTGTATGTCATCATAACATCAGTGATGAAAAT